AATTTGGAAATTATTCAACGCGTTTAAAAATTTTTTTTTTTTAAGGAAAGGAGTCCAAACGCATTTTGCGACACCCAAGATTGGTAACTTATAGGAAACCAAAAGGGTAACGTTCCCCAACTTGTCATACATGAAATATTGAATTTCCCCGGGCAACGCCGGGTACTTCAGGTAATTTAAAATAAAATTAAAATATATGTACTGATTTCTCGTTTAAAATACATTTTCAGAACATGTCACATCCGACACCGTCACAAAATGGGCTTACTTTCTGCTTTAAGTGTCGTAATCTTTACACTAATTCTACATTCAATCTATAGAATGAACATGAAACTAAATTATTAGGGTCTGTTAAATGACAGATACGTGAACATTAGAGCAAGTGACTTTAAGAGGGTTCGCAATGTCACGTCTGACACTTTTCTTTGCACATAGGTACACCTCTAACAAAAGAAAGAGTGCAAGACTTTTGATTATGGAATTTTCAGTCACTGCGTTCGACCTGTGCAACCAAGAGCATCCATCGATGCCCATTGCTTTCAGCCTCTGTCCGGATTTCGTTCATGCCAGGAGACTTTTCGTTCTTCAAACTATCCATAGCTTGTTGAACTTCCTCCATGGTAATACTATTCTCCGCGCAGATATGGTCCGAGTAGGATACATCTGAGTCCGCCGTGCAGGTGGGTTTAAGAGCTCCTCAAAGTGTTCCTTCCACCTTACAAACTTCGGGACCTTCGAATGGTGTGCAAGAACACCTTGTTAGCCGTGTGGTAATTGTGTCCCATTTCTTTGCCAATTACCTTCCACGCTTCTTATTTCACTTTGGCCACGGCTCAAGCAGAGCAGAAATTGAAACTTCCATCTAACACTTGAAAGGGCCGCATCAAGCCCGAGGATAGAAGTAGTGGTCTGAAGACTTTCTTCCCTCCCGAGTTTCGCAACTTCTAGTCACAACTAGCACACCTAGTGAATATCATATTACGTAAATATATCTTGTCTTTTTCATCCACCGCAACTGCGTATATATAAATTGGCAATGCGAATTTGAATGACCGAAAGCTCTCTACTTGAGGCAAAGGAGCCTTAAGACGTGCTAGCAGGTACCCACTCATGTGCAATGCAGACGATGAGGCCGGCTTGCATCTATGTATTGTACGCTTAATGCCCGGCACTCTATACTATTGTATTGCTTGTTCTACGGAACACCCAAATGCATTGTCTATGAGCGAGAGGAGACCACCAGGCTCTGGGTTCCCATACGCGATTCTAGGCAGGAGTAAACTGTCAGTGACCAGACTTTGCTCGTTCTGCATCAATTGAGAATTAATCCAATGATTATCAGAGATTTCTTTCAGTTATTTGCTGTCCTAATGGATATTTTCAATTAGAAGGGGAAGGGTCTCCTAAGAATTTGAGGAGGCCGGGCCTCCCTTGAGATCAACGTTCGGGAACCCTTCTAGGCCCCCATCCACCTCTTCTTGGAACGCGTCGTAATCCAACTCGTTGTTTGGTCCGTGGACCCGAACAGCAGCCAAAACACCGATTTGCTCGAATCTGCGGCGGATCAGAGCGATTCGCTTGCTGATCGGCTTCCATTTGATCATGCTGTGAGCCAACCGAGGGCTAATGAATATCCCCACTCCCGCCCGGGCAGCAACAATTTTTGAACCAGTCCATCCGTGATCTTACAGCGAACGAACCGGTGCGTCCCTCTTGGTTAAGATTCAAGGTCATTTTCTTTGCGTTTAGGCCGTCATTCGACCTAAATCGGGGAGATTTGGTGTGAAAAAAAGAAGAAAAAAAGAACAGGTTAAGAGGGCAATTAATTGTGAGTTCAAAGTATTAGTTCAAGGTAAGTCAAATACAGTATTAAAAGTGCATCACTGATGACCATCTGTTTCAATGACAGCAATTGCATTAAAAAAAAGTTTAGTACTGTTTTTTTCTTCATAAGGCAAAACATGAGTTTTTCTTTATATTTTTGGTGGCTGGCAGGTTCAGTGTTTCCCCTGGTGTTTGGTCCAACTGATCTATGAGATGTCATGATCAGTGCATGCAGGTAGTGCAGGGTGCTTTTTTTAAATATTGCTGTGCATTGTGGCACCTATGCAGTTAAAGTGCTCAAACATGAGGTGACCTAGGGTGTTGGGGCATGTGCCTTGGATTTTCCCCAGTTTTTTCAGTAGCTTTTGGAGTTTTAAGACACATGCCTGTTTCAGATGATTTCCATACAAAGGTAAACAGTAGAAAACAGCTAACAACTTGCAAGCATCAATAATAGAGCAACTGCATATTTTTCCTTACTGCAACTTTTTAACAGCCAGGTACCATAGAATGCCAGTGAAAGCCTCTTTTTACTGAGGGATCAACATGTGAGCTGAAGCACAGGCTTTTGTCAAAAGTAATTCCTAGTAACTTTGCATTTTCTGAGGGATGAATTGTGAGACCATTTATTGATTTTTCCTAATTTATAAGCGAGGAGATCCTGGGATTTTTTTTATCCCTCTCTGGTGGAAGACATGTCATGCAAGTGGGATGGGAGTCATTTTTGAGGATCAAGAAGGGGAAATGTCAAAAGACAAAAGACATATGGTTAAAGGAATCTTATAGCTAGCCCAGAGAATGTTGAAATGAATGATGGAAGATAACTTTGCCTCCATTATTCACACCAGTTCAAAGATCACTTCCTTGCTTATGGAAGCTATTACATGATGGAACCAAGAATAAATTGCAGCTTTATGTTTTTTAACACATGTAACCAATATGGCACAATCAAAATGGAGGCACTAAATCGTCACAAAAAGATCCCATTCCCTGAATTTTGAAAGGAATCCTGATTGCTCTACTACAGGGGTCATGAGCCAAATTGGCTCTCGAGCTGAAAAGTTTGGCTCATTGAGTCATGGCTGTTCCTCCTTTTTCTCATGTATGTTGTCAACTTCAGGAAATTTTCTAATGTTCTGAAAATATTTCACTCGCAAGCACTAAGCTCAATATGGCTCACATGGCCAAAAGGGTTCCCAACACCTGCTCTACTATAATCAATCCAACACACATGTATGGAAAGATTGATTAAGTGTGAAATTGTTTCAATGATCTACATATAATATTGCAAAATATATGTATAAAAATATAAGTTAGAGAATTAAATTAACCAATGTGATAACAGAGTTCTACAATTAACTACATAGAGACAATGAGTCCATGGTTGAATGATGGTTTGGAAAAAAAAAAAACAGAGACTAGACTCGGGTCTAGTTTCTGGATTTTTTACATTGACACCTCTATGTAAGAAACCCCAAACCTGTAACTTGAAGAAAACTCATGGGGGTTTTTTGTTGCTGAGATTTTTCTAGGTTTTGAAAAGTATTTGGAAAACCTACCTACCTGGAATGTACAGTGCATGTTGGTTTTTCATGAGAGGGTTATTTTTTATGATCAAACTTAAAGGTATTTTAGTGCTGGAAATTCTCAAAAACTCATTCCTGCTTTTAGCAAATATATTTGAATATGTGAAAGAACATTCTTAGGGAGAAAAACTTATTGGGATAAATTACTCATTCTAACTATTATGTCCCCTAAATGGTAGCTCTAGTTATATGAGGGGAAACTCCACACTCTTGGAATCAGGTTTGCATTCTGCACCTTTCTTTTTGCAGGTTCTGTACTTCTGCAAATGAAATGTCTGTAATGTGAATATTTATTGCAGCAGCTGCAGTGATGGCATGTCTTCCTTGAACCTAGGAAAAGTACTACTGGAATTTGAATTATTTCTGCATCAGTCTTTCCCCAAAGGATAAGATGTGCACTATATCAGTCCACCCTATACACATTGGATTGACATGCAATACTTTTCAGTGACAGTTGTCACTTTCACTGAAACAGTGGAAATGATTTTAACACATTCCTTTCAATGATAGACACCTTTATGAAATATATCTCATGAAGCCTCTCAAAAGTTGCCCAGTCACTCACTGAAGAAGTAGGCTTTGCAGAAGTCTCCAGGAGTGTGCACATGCAAAAATGGTGTTTTAGAGCTACAGAAATTTCCAAAACCATACGAGGGGCATTCAAAAAGTTTCTGGCCTGAGGCACTTTAAGTTGTAATACACCATTCTTTTTTTTTCATAGAAAGACAGATGTCTTTGATGATGAATGGAAAATTTTCAACTTATTTGTCTATGATGGAAACCTTCCATTAACTTTTGTTCAATGTGCTACCAAAGGGGGGTTCTGCTGAAGGGGTATTAAAATTGAAACTAATGCTGTGATGAATTTTCTAACCTTGAAGGAATCATTTTCCTAATGGATCTTGCAGAGTAGGGTCAATAATACAGTATCCATTCAGCATCCATGCTGAATGGATACTGGATACTATTATTGATACTGTATTATTGAGTGATCTGCTTTCTCAGCAGATCTCAGCCACCTAAAGATCTGCTGAGAAAGCAACTCCTTCAAAGTTAGAAAATTCATCACAGCATTTGTTTCAGTTTTAACATTCCTTCAGCATACCCCTTGGTAGTACATTGAAAAAAAAATGCATAGAAGCTTTCTATTATTGACAAATGAGTTGAAAATTTTAAATTCATCAAAGACTTTCTACGAAAAAAATATGAATGGTGCGATACAGCTGGAAGTGCTTTAGGTTGGAAACTTTCTGAATGCCCCTTGTACCTACAGTGTATAGGGAAGGATTAAAGAGCTGAAACAGTAAATATCTCCCACCTTCAGCCCTTACGAAAATATAAGACTTCAGCTGCAAAGCTCTTGGTAAGCTGCAAAATACCCAAGCATCTGAGCTCAATAGGTAATGATCTATTCAGTCATTCACATGAAAATATTCAGCCAGTTTACAAAATAAGGAAAGAGGGAAGTTCATGAGATAGCAGTAAATTAGCTATTGACATGTTTTGCATGAAAGGATGAGCCTCCTATGAATGAAAACTCCAAGAGCTTTCTCAAGTTCTCCCTATAGGTTTTTTTCAATTGAAATGACTTCAGTGCTGAGACCATTGAATATTTTTTAGATCAACTCCTTCCTGAACCATTTCCCATAGTGGGCTCATATCTCTCAGGCGCTTGATGGCACTGATGATCCGTTGAACAATGTAATCAACTTCTTCTTCAGTAGTGAAACGTCCAAACCCAAAACGGATGGATGAATGAGCCAGATCCTCATCCGTTCCAATGGCACGAAGGACATATGATGGTTCTAAAGAAGCTGATGTGCATGCTGAACCACTTGAAAGGGCAACATCTTTCAGAGCCATTAACAGACTTTCACCCTCCACGTATGCAAAAGAAAGGTTGATGCAGCCTGGATAGGTCTCTTCTGGATCACCATTTCGGATAACCTGTGAAACACTGGCTGTGATCTTATCAAGTAGAAGCTTTGACAACTTCTCCATGTGCTTGTGATCATAGTCCATTTCCTGCATTGATATTTCACATGCAGTCCCAAGCCCCACAACAAGGGGTGTAGGAACAGTTCCACTTCTTACTCCACGCTCTTGTCCACCTCCACTTTGCAGAGGTTCAAGTCGAACTCTTGGTCTCCTCCGAACATACAATGCTCCAACTCCTTTGGGTCCATAGATCTTGTGACCACTGATGGACATGAGATCAATCTTTGACTTGTTCACATCCAAGGGGATTTTTCCCACAGCCTGAGCAGCATCTGTATGGAAGAAGGCTTTCCTTGATCGACAAAGTTCACCTATCTCGTCAATAGGTTGCTTCACACCAATTTCGTTGTTGACAGTCATAATGGACACTAGAACAGTGTCAGGGCGGAAGGCTGCCTCCAGCTCCTTCAAATCTATCAACCCATTTTTTTTCACAGGTAAATATGTGACATCAAACCCCTCCATCTGCAAAGCTCGACAAGAATCCAAGACACATTTATGTTCTGTTTGTGTTGTGATGAGATGTCTCTTCTTGGCCTTGTAGAAATGTGCAATTCCTTTCACAGACATGTTGTTAGCTTCTGTAGCACCAGAAGTGAATATGATCTCTCTGGGATCTGCACCAATTAGAGCAGCTACTTGCTTCCGACCATGTTCCATGGCAGCTTCACTCTCCCAACCATATGCATGAGTTCGAGAATGTGGATTTCCATAGTAATTTACAAAGTAGGGAAGCATTGCATCAAGAACTCTGGGATCCAGAGGAGTTGTGGCTTGATTATCCAGGTATAGAGGTCTTCCGGAAAATTCAGCATTAACTTCCTTCAGCTTTTCCTGTTTCTCTTCTTGAGTTCGAGGGATGGCAGAAAAGTTGCGACTGGGCAAAGTCTTTGGATGCATGGTGTGCCGTCCATGTACACTGTCAATTGTAACTAGGTCTATTTGAAAAGTCTTGAACTGTGAATTGCCTTGGGGAAGTTTTAACTGTTTCAATACCCTTACTGACCACATGACTGCAGTTTTGGTAATCCCAAATATAGAGATTGGAACCTACTTGGGAAGGAGAAGACAAAAATTTTGGGATCACAAGGTAACACCACAATATCTCAAGGGTTTTTCAAGCCATTCCTCGAGTGACACGCAACTCTTCCAGATTTCAGTCACGCTCAGGATTCTGTAGTGAAATCAGAGGTATGCAATAACAAACTGATCGGCCATTCAAAACTTTAACGACATGTTCTACATAGTGAACAGGTGGAAATGATTAGGATAAGAGGCTTATCTAATATAGGCAAGGCTTGGCCTTGCCTGCCATGACAATTATGTTGTCAGATAAGTGGTGATAATTCTATTAACATATGTTACAGAAATGAAAAGAACAGAGTAAGATGTTGGCTTTATCTTGATACTGCATATTTAGGCAGGAAAATAAATCAAGCATGTAGTGAAAGTTGCATGAAGTTCCCACATGCTCCAAAAGATGTGATTTTTGGGGGATACCTTCATACAAGAACTTACTCATTAAGGGCAAAGGAAACGGAACATCTGCTGCTATGTCAATTGACCTGGTAACCCTTTTGCTGTTTGCCCAAATACATATTCAGGTTTGTTTAGTGGTAGCCTGGGTAGGTTCTTAGGCTCAGACCATTCACTGTTTTTGGGTGATATCACAACTATTAATGCAAGTAACTGCTATCTTCAATAGTTCTCATGATATGACATTTTCTTGCATAAAACAATTTTCAGGTAAGCAGTGCCACTTTTTATAACACAGGGGAGATGACAGATTTTTCCCATAACAGTGAAAGGGTAAGTTAAAATTCTTACATGATTCCAGTCCAAGCATCTTACCTGCATAGTCCTCTATGCTATGGCCAAACAGTGAACGGTTATTAGCAGCGTCAATACGCATCTTTCTATTGTGGTGGAAAATAAACTACAACAATCATTCACCATAGGTGAATGATTATTACAACTTATTGCTCACCCAGGGTGTTAAACAGATTTGAGTAGGTCCATGGCCAAGGAAAACCACACTTCTCCAGGTGGAGAATGTGGTGTTCGGGAACCATAGAGCATCTGCAAATCGTTCTTTGCGGGTTCATCCTCCAGAGTCGTAGGCCTATCTGATGGAAGAGGCGGGTGGATGGATACTGCTGAGGTGGATCCCTGAACATAAGCGATTCAGGATCGCTCAGCACAGTAATTCGTGGATACGCTACTCACGCGTATGAACTTCAAAGCCGAAGTTAGAAATGAAGATCAAACGCAGAAGGGACAAGAGCGGTTTTGTAACGAGCGGTGGATATACGTTAGTTGGGGGTATACTCACGTGGGACGTTAAATGCAAGCGCCATTACCATGGCAATAATGTCAGATCCTACAAAAGAATCCTAAGACATTTTATGCCTGACTTCTCTTTGTTTTGATCATGAACCAGATCTGGCGATCCATTTGAGCAAACAACAGTAAAAGTCATATGCTACGCCAAAAAGCACTAGGAAAACTTGCTGACGAGGAGGCAAGGAAATGAACGCCAAACATAACTAGTAACAAGTTAACTCATCATACGATTCCTGTGCAACATTCTGCGCAGTATGGTGGACGTGATAGTCGTAATTACTGGGAGAACTGCTGCTCGCAAATCCTCAGTCGTTCGGTAGCCCTTTCTCGCGAGAGAATTCTTTAAATTACCCCTAAGCAAACTATGACATATGAGATCCGGACTTGGTAGAGATCACTTCAACGGTGCTGGTGATGTTTCTGACCAGCGATCAATCCTGGGTCTGTCCACGCCAAATAGTCCTCGGATTCTGCCGGAATTTTCCCTAAATATGCAAATATTCCTTTCGCTACAGAAGTTCATCATCTCTTTTCCCAGAAGACATGAATGAAAGAGATTATTACATTGAAAAATGAAAGATTTAGTCATGATTATGATATATTATTCATACCACTCTCATGATACTCAAAAATGTGATGAAAATGCAAATCTGGAGAGACCGAATTGGACTACTGGAACAGATATCAGCATGGGTTTTCCATGCATACTGATCATTTCAGCTCAGGTGTGAAGAGTAGATGTCAATTGTTCACATTTGAATGATATCTTAAAAATTAAATTAAAAGATATGTACAGACTTCCCGTTTCAAAATACATTTTCATAACTTGTCACATCCGACACCGTCACAAAAGGGCTTACTTTCTGCTTTAAGTGTCGTAATCTTGGGGTGACTTACACTAATTCCAGGCTTTCATTCAATCTATAGAATGAACATGAAACTAAATTATTAGGGTCTGCTAAATGACAGATACGTAAACATTAGAGCAAGTGACTTTAACTTGAGGGTTCGCAATGTCATGTCTGACACTTTTCTTTGCACATAGGTACACCTCTAACAAAGGAAAGAGTGCAAGACTTTTGATTATGGAATTTTCAGTCACAACCCAAAGCAAATTGTTGCAGCCTTTATATTATGATTCGTCACCCATAATATAGTTCAATTAATTTTGTGTACTAAATATATTACTCCGAATGTCACGTCCAACACCGTGGGCAGACGGGAAAGCTTCGTTCAGGAAGTCATGTACTGTCAAGGCATATCCCACACAGCACAGGGATATCCCAAAGATATCCCAGAGATATCCCCTTGGGACAAGTGCGATGTCCCAGAGACAAGGAGTAGGGACATCTTAGGAATATCAAAATGTCTGGGCCCAATGACATCCCAAGGATGTCCCAGGGATATCCCCTTGGGGCAAGTCCTAGACATTACTTGTGGGGACATCTCAGGGATATCACAATGTCAGGAGGTAAAGACATCCCAAGGATGTCTCTTTCTTGTAGCACAAGTATATCCGAAGGATGTCATAGCACATCCCAGAGATGTCCCAGGGATATCCCCTTGGGGCAAGTCCTAGACATTACTCGTGGGGACATCTCAGGGATATCACAATGTCAGGAGGTAAAGACATCCCAAGGATGTCTCTTTCTTGCAGCACAAGTATATCCGAAGGATGTCCCAGAGATATCCCATTGGGACAAGTGAGAAGTCCCAGGTAGTACTTGTAGGGGCCTTCCTATCCGCAATGGATTCATTTCCTATCGCACAGGAGAGCCCTTTGCTTTCATAGATATCAATATTATATTTAGGAACACCTAATCTAACGTTCTTGAACGATTGAAGAGTGACCATTAAGGGGGAGGAAAATACCGTTTCTTAAAAGGGGACCCCATCATAGGAGACACATCTCCAAGGGACGACAATTAGCACTTTTAACAGAAGAGACCATGGATGATATGATGTAGTCTTATGCCTTTCAAACACTCTGGGCTCAGGCCTCCAACCAATATAGTTGTATCCAGACATGCCGATCAGACATCATTAATGAGAATATAAAGGGATAAATTAAAGCTCGGACCGCAATTTTTTCACTTTCCCTGGTGGCAGTTTTCCTTATGTATGGTACGAAAATCCTTACTTTTCCTCAGGACAAATCAAGTAGATGAATTCGGTAGAGAAGATCTGAGGTTGCAGATCAGGGCTCACGGGAGACATCTACCGTCGAAGCTATGCACCTGACTCAAGGCGACAGAGAGCACTGAAGATGCCTAAAGACATCCCTAAGATGTCCCTAAGACATCTTCCTCAAGATATCGAAAAGCGTTCGACTGAAGATATCTTCAAGATATCCCCTCCAGGATATCCAGAAGCATTCGACTAAGGATGTCTTAAAGATATCCCGAAAGGGATATCTCTAAGATATCGACTGAAGATGTCTAAAAGACGTCCCGAAGACATCCCTTGCGAGATGTCCGAAACCGTCCGAAAGGAGATGTCTTCAGGATATCCTATAAAGACATGGGGACAAGTCGTCCAGTTAGGGACATCCATGGGATATCCCTGTGCTGTGTGGGTGGTAAAGGAGGGAGATTTGAGGGCGATAAGAGAGAATGCATGAAAGGTGATCAAAGACATGCAACAGAACTGAGTGTGCAGTTAAAACAAAAGTATCTAGAAATATGATCCAGTAAATAGAGTTACAATCTCAAATGGAATCAACGGTGGCATGACTATACTCGCTAGAGGACTCTCAAGTTAAAATTCCAAAAATACGGGACCTTATTATACACGTACCAATGCAACTTCATATCACAAAAATGATGAGAATACCAAGACGTCGAGAGTTCAATGTTGACACGACGTGGCACATGAGGTTTTCTTTCGATGTTGAACTGCGTTTAATTTCAAAATTGCTGTAACACTGAATCAACCTTTTACACAACGTTATAATAACATTGTCACGTTGATAAATCAAACCTCGCTCAACGCTGACACGACGTCGTTGTGCCGACCGGTTCATGAAGTACCCGAACAAATATGCGACTTTTTGATTGAGAATTTGTTACATGTTACGCCCTTCTTCTAATTCTGATGACGGTGTACAGCATGGAACGAAGTTTAATTCTCTGGAACAGCTGATGGACGCCCAGTACGTGGTATGCTTGTCGGCAAAGCCTATGCTCTCATGTACAAAGTGGCACGAATTCGTGTCAACTCGACTTTTCCGCTCCTCCCTTTCTATTGATTCCAAAGTACTTTATTCAATGTGAATACAGGAGGTAGAACCAAGAGAGCGACTGGAATGTGGAACGACAGGAGTTTTCTCAGGTCCGTGCCACGATTTGGTGGACTCGAGTGCGGTAGTGCCCTAGAAATTCCTTGAATACGCTCGGGAGTATATTGTTCAAGATGGCATCGGGCACCAGAGGGAGGTAGAGGTCCATGTTGTAGATCCACTGCAAAAACGTCTTCCCCTCTTCTCTCGATGGGGAATATGTGAATCCTCCCGGGTAGCACGTAGCTCTATAATCCAATTTTCAATACAAGTTCATTAATTTCCATGCCATCGAATCTTTTTTTTGAATATTTAATTATCGGAGAGCGAGTGCCTAGAACTGACAAGACGTAGTTGTCGGAGGCTTGAATATGTGGCCACGTTGTGCTGGCAATGCAGGAATGCATCTTCTCCCCATCCCTATCCCAGTAGTTCAAAAGGATAAAATCTCGGCTCCAGATGAACCCGTTGGCAAGCGGGGCCGTGATTTGTCGAATTATCTGGCAATTCTCGCCCATCTTCTGTCTCGATCAAATGGAGCACAAAGAGATCATGGTGAATCTAGTTTCGGAGAAAAAAATGACAGCGTCTGATGCGAATGGGATGGGATTGCAGGAAAGGAAATAATTCCACATGCGTCTTCCTTTCACCCGTGCCCGAAAAAAAAAGCATGACAAACAGCAGAAACGGCGGGACGAATAAAGCCATGCTCCAATCCGTCTCCTTATGCGAGATGCAGTCAAGAAGTTTCCAAAGTTGTCGAATAAAACGAGAACTATTTTGTGCAATTCCTATTTGCATCATTCACATTTCAACATAGTCCCCTTGCTACTCTTTGCAAGACTGGCTTATTTTTTAAAATCCAAATGAGGTAGCACTGGGCAAACGTTTCTTTGGGGGAATGTCGGAATCACTGCCAAGTAACACTTCCGAGAGCAATTCGAGAGGAATAACGGTGCTCACTAAGGGCCGATTGATGAATAGAAGATTAAACCTGGGCTACTCTAACTCAAGCCATCCCCTGCATTTCCCTGTGGGTTTCATCCCGTGCTCGAGTTTAGCCCCTCGTTCATCAACCGACCCTAAGAGTCTTCGTGAGTTTCCCAAACAACCAGAAGTCTCTTGAGGCGAGATCTAGAAAGTGAGAGGGATGCGGCAGCACTTCAGTCGGTTTTTCTTGAAGGAAGTAGCTATAAACTTGAGCTCGGTGAGAAGGAGCATTGTCCTGGTGGAGGATCGATGTCGACATCGGAAGGCTTGATATTTTTTATCATTGGTGGAAGGAGTTCCTTGACTAGCAGGTCTCCGTAGTAACGCCCAGTGATGGTTGAACCAGAAGGTATAGGATGAATGACCAGTGGATCCTTCATGTCCCAAAGATGGCATAGCGTTTCTTGAATGGCACTTGGGTGGGGGCGAATCAGCGTTGTCCCGAGCTCGAATTGTTAGCGACTTCCTCCAAGAAAACGGACTGAAGTGCTGCCGCATCCCCCTTACTCTCCAGACCAGCCCCCCCTCCCTCTAAGCGACTTCTGGTTGTTTGGAAAACTCATGAAGTCCCTTAGTGAGCACTGTTATCCCTCTTGAATTGTTCTCAGAAGCCAGTCTTGCAAAGAGAAGCAGGGTGACTATGTTGAAAAGTGAATGATGCAAATTGGAGTTACACAAATAGCTCTCGTTTTATTGGAGTACTATGGAAACTTTTTGACTGCATCTCGTAATTCTGTACCACGCGAATGAATGAGATAAGAAAACCAAATCCTGCAGTAAAAGACTCGAATAGTGAGGACTCAGTTCCTGAAGCACGGAAAGATGACTTCCGGTCACGAGAATAAGCTTTTAAGCTGGATTCACTTAATGTTTTAAAATGTGTCAAAGGCACAGTGGTAGGTGGGATTGAAAAGCAAAGATTATGACTCCATAAAAAGAGAATCCAGCTCGGATTTTTTTTCTACATGTTCGCATGGAATAAAGAGCAATCTTCTCCGGGCTATTCACGTTGGAACCTGACTGACTTGATTGTGAGCCTATCATCTTCAAGATGTGAAATAATCCCCACTCGCATGCATGAATGCCTCTAATGAAAACCAAGTAATTCTTAAAGACGGTGAAGAGAACCATGTCTTCGACACGAGAAACAGGTGATCTGCAAATATGAACAGCCTCATGATCGTCGTCCTCATAGTGGATTGCGTTTCCCTGCCTTTCCCCTAATTGAAATGAAATCGGTTTCATAATATCTCGGGACCAGTCATTTTCTGAATTTTGTGTCGACAACGTCTTACTTTTTTTTCTCGTTTTCTAAGGGCAGAGGAAATCCAGAAATCCAGACCTGGAAATCCAGAAAGGGAAGAGGGGAGAAGACAACTTCTTCATTTCCTGACTAATTAAGACATCCATTATCTTTCTAGCTTAGGGAAAACTCGTTCCATCATGATTGAGTGTGGATACAGAAAGGACTGAGTAAGATTAGCTTTACAGGATTGCTTCAGACTTACTTTGAATGCCTTGTTCAGAAACAACTTTTCCACAATTTACAATATCAAGCGAATTGCGATTGATGATTTATGCATGCACAGGTGATTCTGACACCCTGAACTCTGACACATCCTTTCTGTGCTTTTAGGGATGCCATCTTCTCATTCATCAATTCTATTTCGTACACAAGAGGTTTGGTTTTCGTTCTTTTTTTTTTTTAGTTATGCCAGCTTGCCGTACACAGCCTTCAAGTTGTACTTCTTATGTAACCCAGATCTAATAGAAATTCCCCATTTATTTCTGAAAGGCCCGTTATTCCGGTGTCTCATCCATCCTAGCCATTATAACCTCAGCAAGTTTTTTCTTCTCTTCCGTCACGAGTAAACGGTCTGGTGTCGTCTAACAAGGGAGTTCCGAAAGAAATCGCTGGTTCCCTCAAGTCCGAATTAGTGAGAGTTGACTAGGCAACTACTGCATTACCTCTCCTTCTCCACGGCAGTTCAGTTTGCTCTCGGATACTTATTTGAAATATTTAATTACAGCTGGTGTACTTCACCACGGATGTCTCAATTGAGACGTGTGAAACAAACCAGTTCTCAATATATTTATAAATAATGCACTAATCATTAAACTTGAAAGGTTGCATTCCTGTTTCCTCACTATGTTAGGCTTTATTTTTGGATTACAGTCGAACAATACTGTGAAAATCGAGTTCCTTCTGCGGTCGGATAGCAAACTGAAAACGAAGGTAGGAATTTAATACTGATGAATGTATTCTGTGACATTATTTCATAAACAGGGATCTCCAAGGTATTTCGTTATGCCTTCATGCAAATTGCATTAGTGCAGAGTTTATTTTATTGCTACACCTTATCATCAACGTTCCAATACATAATGTACATGAAAGGAAAAAAATATGCATTTGCAAAAAAAGTTCATATTCTTGCATGTGTTATCCAGGCCTTCAAGACAATCCTTGCGGAATAAGGCCAAGTCTGTTGGGAGCTCTATTTGCAAGTTCTTCCTGAACTTGTTCAATGCTTAAGATTCGTGAAAAAGTGAACAGTTGCCTTAAGACAAATCTCTATTCGTCGGAATCCAATTGATACTTCTTTTTTTAGGTCAGCTGCGGATACTGAAATATGGAATACTTTCCAGTGGGGCTGTGCGATATTGGTTTTAACCCTTTATTGCATAATGATACCAATTGGCATCAAAGCAAAATTTTAGAACATATATGGAGAACAATTATTTTGAGTATGTATTTTGCCCAACGATGCCAAACAGCATCAAACCTTTATGTCTCAGACAATTGTCTCCTTTATTTATTCCCAACAAGATCCGTGCAGAAGAGTAAATGGGAAAAGAGTATTTGGGACCTCTTCACATGGGTCCCAAGAGGCCATATTACCCCTATTGTTGGGGGAATATGGCCACTTCTGAAAAACAACTCCGGATTGTCCAGGAACGTGTGAAATGTGCTGGGACATGCTGAGTACCTTGAAACATGATAAAGGAATCTCAGCAGTTGGAAAAGAAACATTAACTACACCGAGAACAAACAAAGAAGTCGACATCATTACCTGACTAGAGGAACCGTTGTGGAAAACAGGATTGCAACGCTTTTACTTTTAAGTAACAATGCACGTGATTGGGAGACAATATCTAGAGACTGTGTGTAAAAGAGGAATGATCAAGCATCGATTAAAGTGACTATGCGCTACGAGTGTAAAATAAGAGGTCTTACATTGCAGGAAAAATATTGCGTTGTTTTTGCATGTATAGTGCCAAAATAGTGCCAAATCGTGCCAAAAATCACGGATTGTCCTATTTTTACGAGGGATATTTAATTGCATTCAAGTTTCGTGCAACAAAAATTTCTGGAGAATGTCAGGCGATGCAGAAGGAGGTGCATAAGCATACCCTCATGCACGGCCTCCTCATGTACTGCATATTTCGTCCAGATGTCCAGTACGTCTATCCATATATCCAGAGGAAGTGCATTGGATGATCTCTTGCAGTCTGAGATCCCACACGAAAGGAAGCAGACAGTATCAATAGGTCTGTGCGATGCTAACATGAAATGAAGGATGTGTCCATATTACCCCAAATCGAGATGGCCATATTTCCCCATATTGGCTCGCATTACAAAATTGACAACACTGCCTACAAACCGCAAGTGAAGGGGCTAGCACTTTGCACAAGCATTCTGGAGAGACCATAGAAGAACTTAGAAGTAATGGTTTCTGTATCCATGCTGCTATTAGGAAATATACGCTTATGTTGCTCAAGGCTCATATTAGTTCCACGGTCATGAGTCAAAGAATCGTATGCATATGACTTTTAAGACATCGATGTATCCCGAATTCCTGTGGGAACTGGATTGATGAACAGGTCTACACATTTCGACAATTGCATGTACTCTTCGATAGAACTATTTTTTAAATTCGCCCAAACTAATTATTCAGTCTATAAGGGGATTCCTTGTGAAGGGCCATATTACCCCAATGGCCATATTCCCCCAAGTTACCCTATCCATTTCGTAGGCCCCGATAATAATTAATTTTTGTGCTTCTTAAATTTAAGAAATAGAATACGAACCTGGCCATAGGGGTCCCCCCCCCCCTTTCCCCCCTCAGGATTCGCCACTGACCTCATGTCAAGCTCTGTCAACACATTTGACCTTAAATTGATCTGGGTGTTTTGGAATATTAAATTCATTTTTGTATGCTAAGTATATGTTTTAGTATATTAAGTACATTTTCGACAGTACACCTCCAGGTGGCCTCTAATGTACTTGGAGCCTGTACTGAGGGCCTCAAATGCACACCACAACATCGAGATTCTTACGATGAGGTACGATCGTACCTTATAATCGCGCCATGTAATGCAGTACCCACCTGAATAACGGAGCTTTGAGCAACATTTGGATTCCAGGTAGAGATATCCTCTGCCAGATTCCGGTCTTCCTCGAAGAGCCTCTCGGGATCGATGTTCAAAGTCGTCTAGAATCGTGGAGAAAGAGACAGGAATATGATATTATGGAAGGAATATGACTGAGTCGATCGGTGGGAGGAGATTTTACCTCGACAAGGAAGGCGGTTCTTTGAATCTCAGAGTCGTAGAAGGATTTTACGGTCACATTTTCGTCCGAATGAAACCATAGGGTTTCCCAGGGGGCCGAGTGAAGCATGTTCTTCATTGCCAACAGGTTCTTTTTCCCCTCCTCCACGAAGTCCGCCTCCTTTACTCGCGGAAGACATGGGCTGATATTAAATGAAATTTCTCATCGAATCCATCCCCTAGGGTAGTAGTATCAATAGTTAGGTTATGACCATCGGCTCGTAATGGGCTATTGTCTCAGAAATCATCTCTGAACGATGTAAAATGTATCAACAGCAATTAAAATTGCTTGTAATGGCAACCGGGCACCATTCGTGACGCATGCAGCAGCAACAAATTCAAATCGCCTAAGGCCCTTCAGAAATTTGGATGGTTTAGTTATCAAGGTACAAAGAGCGACTTTTTCTCTGCTCCCTCCGTAGATAGAATCCAGAAGAGGTTAGTTGCCCTCATGGATGAAATGAAAAAAGGGGAGCAATATAAGAGAGTGGCACCAGATCGCGAATACGCGCCAGATACGCGAATGACAGATCAAAAGGTGCTAGTCGACACCATGCTTCTCTGACGTCATACCCATCACTAACTCACAGTTCATGCCTTCTTCCAGACAAGTGCGCGAGAAGGGAGTGTGACACAAAAGGAACGTGGTACCAGCTCGCATCTTAAGACCTGTTTTTTACTATCCCGCGTGTATTCGCGATTAGGTATCGCTTCCCTAGACGTAGGTAACTAAACACACTTCAACCAAAAACATCTTCAGAGGAATGGGCCTATCTTAGATCGAAGAGAGGGAGGTGCGATGATGGACCAAAAATCTCGAATTCTCTGTGATTATCAGCATGAGACCCTCAACTGTAGAGGACCAGTTGGAAAACGGAGGGTGATGCATACTTGAAAATGCTTTATATCGTGTAAGCCTCTGCAGAGAATGCTCACTTCTTTCTTAAATATTATTTATCTAATCTTCGATAAGGGACACTCAATGCAAACTCGTGAAACCATCTCTCTTTTTATTAATGCTCTTAATTCTAGTCTCTAATATACAGGGTATCCATAAAGTTACTTCCCTATTTCAAAAGACCCATTCTCCATTACGGAGTGGCCCAGAAGCTTCATATTCGGCACAGATGATGTACAGCCAATGGGATTTCTGATAGCCAAGTTTCCAAAATTTTCCAAAAAGTTCCTGGATAACACCACCAGGACAGCGCTTTACCGACCAGAGACATGGGTTCCTCCACACTTTGGGAGACGCGTCCAGTCTCTTCTCCAACGTACGTTCCAGGACCGTGTGATCAGCAGGGCTTTCCCACAGGCGTAGCCGCATGCTGCGCCAGATTCTGATATTGTCGTCTGACTAATTACGTTCTGTCGTCTACCACTTCATTACATGGATGGAGGCGGTGGTAGTGGCAAGGGGTGGCCACATCGAATACCTGCAGGTTTGGTCGTGCCATCCATGTGGATATTTGTGTATGTGTCGACTTTGGACTGTGTTTGGCCAGTATAGCGCCACCCTGGTGGTGATTTCCAGAAACTTTTTGGAAAGCTTTGGAAACTTGACTATCATAAATCCCATTGGCTGTACATCATGTGTCGATTATGAAGTTTCTAGGCCTCTCCGTAATGAAGATTGGGCCTTTTGAAATAGGGAAGTAACTTGATGGACACCCTGTACAGTATATAGACGGTCGTGACTGAATGAATGACTGACGCTAATTATAGCCATGTTCTAGATAAGGTAGAAATCTGAAACTTGGTACACAAGTAGCTATTGGGAGGCAGAGTTCAGAAAAATCTGACTTTGGAGGTACCTGCCCTGGGGGCATCCAATTTTGGGGAGATATATATTTTATGTAATATATATATATTTATATATATATTTTTGCTTCGGTCAAACGGAGAGACATGGAAAACTGAAACTTGGCATGAACTTGGCATTAAGACACTGAGTTCTGGAAAAATATCAAGTTTCAGATGCATCCTCTGGGGATATATTTTTTTGGGGCGACATTTTCAAATATTTTTTTTTGTCCTAGTGAATTGGGCAGAAATAGAAAGGTAAAGCCTGGCAAATGCAGAAATCACGTGATGTTGAGTTCAGGAAAATTCATATTTTGTGGTGCATCCCCTCAGGGCACAGCTTTTGGGTGAGTCGTATTTTCCAAAGAAATTTTTCATCAGCGAAAAGAGCAAACGGATAAGGTCCTTGGTGGATATTTAGTTCTCCGAGTGCTGATTTCAGAAAAAAAAACTAATTGTACTTTATAGGTAAAACCCCTCAGGGCACCTTTTTTCCCCAAGCGGCGCATTTTCAGGAATATTTTTTGATCCAACGAAACAGAGAGATAGAGAAAGTAGAAACTTAGCGTATATGTGCCTGATGTATTGTTGTGTAAAGAAAAAATCCTGCTTTTGAAATGCCTCTCATGCCGGATTATGGAAAGGAAGTATTTCAAAATTTATTTTCCGCTTAGACAAAAATATGGCACATAAAGATATATCACGTTAGGCGCACAAGAAATCACCGGGATAATGATTTCGACAATAAATAAAAACTCGGTAAGTTTTTGCAGCTTCGAAAATGAATAAATGATTTAATGACTACCCTACGTAATGGAGCGCCGAAGGCGTGACCACAGCGAGTTTGCTAGTACTACATGCAGATGTTCATTTTGTACGCGATGTGCATTTTTTCAGATAGAAATGAGGACTCACAGATGGATTTGGAAGAGCCATGATGAATGGTTATCCGACCAAATACGCAGTCACTAAAGATGATCCCTGTGTTTATTTTACTTATCTTATCTTTCTTCGCAGCATCATAGAACATATTGTACATAGTCGTTGCGCACAGCCCCTTACGGATTAATATTGACACGTCCTTGAGTATGGGCCCAGACTGCCGTCATATACTGTACAGTATTGTCACGTATTTGGTATGGTTTCTACCTTTGGCCACGTGCTCGAACGTGGGTACCTGTGATCCTTAAGCCCCTTTTTATTGCACAGAAATTCCCGATTCTCTTATGACTGCTTAATCTTTGATTCTGGGCGTAGGTAGAAACCAATTACTCTAAGATGGATCTGCTTTATCTAAAACCTAAAACTACCAGAATCCCTTCCGACCTATAATCTTGCATCTTGGATGGACTTTTGCGCAAGCAACGTCGCGGAAGGCGAACAGGTCTCTGTCACGTATTGGATAGGGAATGATTCCTAGTCAACACACGACTATGGGATTATTAGGTAATCTCGGGTTCGGTACAGCAAATTCAGGAAAGAAAATCCACCATCGGAATTTCAAAATAATTATACAGTTATATTAATATTAACAAGTTCAAAAGGAAAAAGAATGACGAAATAAAATAATGGAGGGACAAAAGACACAACACCAGGGACACGAGAAAACCGTCTCACAGGCAAATCTCTATTTGATCCCCGCCCCACCCCACAAGCTGCTCCTCGCTCTTGCTCTCGCTATCCCCCCCTCTCTCTTTCTCTCGACCTCCTTCGACTCCCCCTTTTCTCCCTGGGTCTTCTTGGATGGAGCTGATAAGGTTTTCCGTTCCAGATTATTAGTTTGGATGTCTCGCCCTAGGACATTATCGGTCAATAAGGTCAGGATATCCATTCCCGGAGAAGGGATGCTTTCATCTTTCTATTACATCCTGCGTCTTGTATCAGGTCCCTAGGTACGACCTTCTTAATGAGCTTTTTAATATGCTTCATCTCCTATCCCGACTCACTGGGTACGACATTTCTAGATTGCCAACACCAGTGATTCTTGATTCCAGTATTCTGAGTCTACAGGGTGACTCAAAAGTCCTTGGACACCCATTGAAAAAACCGTTGGACAAGTGATAGCCAGGTGATTTTTTTTAGTGAAGCAACATCTATTACAGATCTATTTGCCTTCCAAGTTTCAGGTCGAAAGCTCTTGATATGGTTCCCAAACATCAAAGAGAAGCAGTGATTTTTCAAAACCAGAGTGGTCTTCCAGCAAGCAGGATCTCAAAGCTCACCAAAACCCCTCGATCTACTATCTACAACATTATTCGGCGATACAATGAGCTTGGATCAGCAGCAGCAGATCGCCAAAGTGGACGTCCTTCCGTGTTCCAGGATAAGAAGCTCCAGAAACGAGTCAGGCAACTGCTATACCGAAATCCAGAGCATTCTGGATTTCGGTAATTTCTGGGATTGTTTTTTCTGACAAAAAAATTTTCACTGTAGAGCAAGCTTACAACCCCCAAAACAATCGCCTCTGGGGTAAAAAGCTTTCCTCTTTCAAGTCTCACCAGCGATATGTCCATCTAGTTCAAAAACCAGGTAGTGAGATGGTGTGAGGTGATGTTTATGCTTCTGGCAAAACTCCCCTGCATTTTGTGCAGCCTCAGGCCAAGATCAATGCNCATAAAAACATGGTTGGTTTAGTTTTTTTGTGATCTTTGCACTGGTCAAATCAGAAATTAAATTGGTCTTGATCAGAGAATGCTACACTTGATTAAAGGTGTCCAAGGACTTTTGAGTCACCCTGTACAACCAGAGCTGCAGCATGCTGGTTGACTATTAAAACGGGAACCTTCCTAAGCTACATGGTTGTGTGCATACAAGAGACATGGCTTTTCCCTTTAACGTTAAGAGTGAAGCGGATACATACAGATACATACGGATAATTTTTACGATTTTTCGGAGCTATAGGAATCACGCCAATAAGCGTGGCGGTGGTGCACCGATAAACCGTCATCAATGGGAAAGAGGATCCAGCTCAAAAACCTGTAGGCTTGGAAGTCGATAATGATTTCGATCTTGTCCCATTTGAATGCATTCGGAAGTTCATCGTGGCTTCGATATACAATCAACACAGATGTACGATACATAATAATAATACAGGGTGTCCAAAAAAATGTATACACACTTTGATTGTTAATTACTTCTATATTTATTTTCATAAATTCAATTTTATAATTTTATAATGAAGAAAAAATGTGAGAAAAAATTATGAATTAACGCAAGTGTTCAAAATGTCCTCCATTCTTATCCAGGCATTGTTGACATCGTCGAGAAACTGAAGTGCATACATCACCTAAGATATCTGTTGATATTACTGCACATTCTGCTTCAATAGCTTGCCGTAATTCAGCGATAGTTGTTGGTTTTGTGGCATAAACTTTATCTTTGAGGTATCCCCATAAATAAAATCCAATGGCGTTAGATCTGGTGAACGCGGAGGGTACTCAACACTGCCTCTTCGTCCAATCCATCTGTTTGGGAAAGTTTCATCCAGATAAGCCTTACATCGCGATGAAAATGGGGAGGTGCCCCATCTTGTTGGAAATAAAATTCCTCCTCATCCTCAAATAGCTCACGAATGTGTGGGACGAAGCAAGTTGAGGTACACGGCACCAGTAACAGTTGCATCAAAAAAGAATGGTCCAATCAAACCCAAGGATGATAATCCACGCCACACTGTAATGCCCGGTAAATTCACATGTTGTTCATCAGTAACGTGTGGATTCTCGGTTGCCCAGTACAAACAATTGTGGCGATTAATTGTACCATTCAACTTGAATGTTGCCTCATCACTCCAAACGATCTTATTGGCAAACAGTGCGTCCTCTGCAAAATTTGATAAAAACCACTCGCAAAATTCAACCCTACG